GATGAATGAGTGAAAACGCGCACAGTGAAAATTGTTTTGCTCCGTTTTTATCGTGAGAATTCTAATTTATGTGTGTGTTCTCTTCATTTTTATCGTGAGAATTCTAATTTATGTGTATTATTTCATTTCAGTTTATTATTATTGTTATCATTATACTAATTTATCAGTATATTAATTGCAACAAAAACAACAACGACACTGATTGCCACGTTGAAATATTGAAATCATTCGAATGAAATGATACGAACGCGTGTTTGTTTGTCCGAAATAAAAAAAATCCAAGCATTAAAAATAATGAAACCATTAATAAAATTTGCAGTGACGGAAAAATCGAAATGGATAAAGTTTGATGAAAAAGGAATAGATGGAAAGACTGGAAATGAATACGAAGCAAGGAAGAGATATGATGAAGAATGAATGAATGAATGAACGAAGAAACGAATGAATAAATGAATGGATAAATGAATGAATGAATGAGCTGGATGAGCTGCACATGAATCAACATCTCAACATCTAATGCCACAAAATACAGCTCACTTCATGAGAAACATGTATCAAACACACACCACACCCCTGCTTGCCTGCCTAGCATACATAGTAATAAGAATCCTTGTCAAACATAAACCGCATCAAACTGAATACATACAAACTTGCAATCCCATACAAACATACAAATACATAAACATAAAAAGACACAAACATGCAAACACACAAACATACAAAGTCACAAACATACAAACACACAAACATGCCTATATACATATTTGCATGACCAAACGCGACAAAAATTCTAATATACAATCTTACAAATGGATACAAAAAAAATATACAATCAACAATAAAAAATTCAAGCCGTAGAGTTTTATGTAGTTTTATGTTTGTAATTTTGCGTTAATGTTTCATTATACTTTACTTACATACAGTATTTATACAGTTTTAATATTCGCAAGTAAACATTGTCTTCTTAATCGAACCGTGTTATAACAACAACAACAACAACAACAACAACAACAACAACAACAACAACAACAACAACAACAACAACAACAACAAAAACAACAACAACAGCAACAACAAACAACTACAACAACAACTAAAACAACAACAACAACAACAATAACAACAACAACAAAAACAACAACAACAACAATAATAATAATAGAATAATAGTAATAACAATATTAATGATAAAAATAATGATAGTGAGAATAACAATAACAATACAAAAGCATAGTTGAGAATGTTTTGAACGTTTAGCAGAATATAGTTTAATGAGTGCGGCTTCCTCGCCTGGCGGTGATTGTGTAATTAACATTCAGAACACGAGCCTGTCAACAACGGTCCACCAACATTATAATAGGAAATCTCATCATGAAATTGTCGAAGCAATAATGCAAACATCATCCCAGGTTCTACGTTTCAACAGGAACATCGTAATGCTGGTGGATGTGAAATTATCTCCAGTACGTGGGGTGTGTTGTCACCTCCTTTCAATAGTTTAAATAGTTTTCATATTTCGTTTTAACTACAGTGTCCCTAACATGCAAGTCAGCCAGTTAAATTTCATCAACTTTTTCTACCATTTCTTGCTAATTTTAACAAAAATTAAAATTATTAAAATCATAAATTTTAATAAAACTGGTAGCGGCAAAACAAAAACAAAATCGTCATCTATATCATCATCATCATCGTCATCCATCATCATCGTCGTCGTCGTCATCATCATTCATCATCATCAACAGCAGCAGCCGCACGCTCATCATCATCACCAACCTGTTCTAACAAGCAAGCAACCAGCAACCAACCAACCAACCAACCAACCAACCAACCAACGAGACAGCCAGCACAACAGGCAGAAATGAATGAAGGAGTGCATGAAACAAAGCTTAGCAAATCCCTTCATTATTGTCACGTGATGTGATGTGGAGCGGCGGAGGAGCATCAAATTAGCAAGGCAAATTCATGCCGGGATCATAACATGGACTACATTCATTATAAACAGCATCCCGACCACACTAGCAACTCAGCCTCACAACCACACTGTCCACACAGCCACACTGGCCACACAACCACACTGCTAAACAACCACACATTAACAAACAACAACACAACTGTAAATTTGCAGACCAAAAAACAACAATTACACCACTACATACATTTAACAGTTAGCAGCACAACAAAACATTCTTTCATTAAATAACACAACAGCACACCATCAAACAACAACACAAAACACAGTATAAAACCAGCAACACAACAGAGCAACACAACAACAGAAAAACACACTGCAAAAATGAAATATCATGGTCCACGCCATTGCAATATCATTCCGACCACACAGCCACACAACCACACAACCACACAGTCATACAATCACACAGCCATACAATCACACAGCCACACAACCACACAGCCACACAACCACACAGCCATACAACCACACAACTAATGGTGTGATCGGATTCAATTTCAAAGAGATGTCCGCCCATTATATGCAGACCATTGTATGATGTGTTAATCCACACACATTAACTATGCTGTATGTACTTGGTTTAGTTGATATCTCTAAGAAATGTAATAGTAAAGATTAAAAAATAAATAAAAATTAATAAAAAAAACAATAATTTTAATGAGAATGTCGTTTCAATATCTTCAGCTGACATCAGAAATTAGTGAGTGACATTATCACCGTAATCACAAGGTATGCGCACTACATGCAGTAGCATCACCGCATCACTTCGACGATAAACTGGACACCTCTTCTTTGAAGACCACTGACCAGCTCCATTTCACACCAAGTCCATTCTAATTACAAAACAGTACAATTTTCAGAAGAATATGCTAATGCTCATACTCTCTACTCCCCTACATTAATTTGTCCCACACACACACACCACACACACACACCACACACACACACACCACACACACACACATACACACACACACACCACACACACATACAAACTTATAACAGTACAGTACAACCACACATCTTCTGCATACACGCACGTACATATACAATTGCACAAACACGTGCAAATATAATAAAATACACACTCATACAAATAACAAATACTATCGCACATACATAGGCACGGCATACAAACTTGTATAAAATTAATCATTCATTACATGATGAGGTCTACAAACTTTTTCACAACAAAAGATTAGAAATATTTACAAAACTATTTTTATATATTATCTGTAAGAGGGAACTCTTATTTATGAAGACTGCATTTGCACTTCATTTGATTCTTAGCGAAAACCACAAATTTTATTATTTTTTTCTTTGAAGATTATTTTCTCAGTCTTTTGATCTTTTCTTTTGTGTTCTCGCATTTTATCACAACCTTTTTTATTTAGAAAAATTTAAAATTCTTTTTTACTGGTTTGCGGTTGTTTTAAATTTGTAATAAGTTAAAAGTTCAATGCATCATCAACTCATTATTCAAACCATAGCATACTCTAGGAAACTCCGATTAAAAATATGATCAAATCTTGCAGAATAGTGACTTAATATTAAGCAGTGATTCTAAGGTTGTCATCATTCAAATATTTTGATTAGAAGTCTATTACACTTTACTGTTAAGTGATATAGCGATGGATTTATAACAAGGTCTGTTAATTTAACTTTTTGAAGTAAATGTAACGATACTGGTAATCTTATATATAACCGCGAGTTTATCATCTTCATTTCAAATCTATATTCATTCAGATCCAGAAAAACATTACAATATAAACGTACTAACAATTTCCAATGAATTTAAAGTTTATTCGCCAATTTAAAAAAAAATCACAAACAAACAGCAAAATTAAAAATAGAGAAATAAATTTAGTTGTAGAGAAACATCACCATGTCAGTAGAAGCACGGTACATACATAAGCTTCATCATCAACATTGACTAGCATACACAGCATTATGTTGACAGCTAACATCAATGGAACACGCGAAAATATCTGACATACCAGTCATTTGGACGTCTTCCATTCTTATGTGCACTTTCTTATATTACACGTACATACATGACGTCACATACATATGACATCACATACTTTCTTACATTACACGTATATACATGACGTCACACACATATGACATCACCTATATCTAAACCTTTCCATTCCCACATAGTAGCATGTCTCCATGTTTCAAGATTCTTTTAAACATGAAACCAGTCACAATTTAAATAATACATTTCAAATTTTCTTTCAAGATTCTCATTTTTTTTTAAATATATCTTTTGGTTAAAATTATGACCAGATCATTGACAAAAAAACTTTGATTAACTGAAAAATTCTGTCTGGAAAAATTATTTAGAAAGTAATTTAGTTGAATAAAAAAAATCACAAAAATTTGTTTTTGACAAAATTATTTTTTAGCACGCGAAAGTCAAAGATGTATATATGCATGAAAGCATTTAATGCCAACTCTTAATTATTCAAATTAAGATGTTTTTTTTAAATTTTTACATATTTTCCAAAATTTAAGTTCGCTAATAACGTACAATTTTTTTTTTGATTTTCATTATCAAGTCAATTACATGAATTTGAATGGTTTCCATGTGTACATAGATGAAATTTAATATTATTGTCAATGTTACAAAAATATTTCATTAATTTTTTCCTAAAGTAAATCTTTTTAAAACAAATAAAAAATAGAAAGATAGTCAAATAAATAAATTGATGGATAGGTTGATATTGTTATAACAGACAGACAAACAAACAGACAAATAAACAGACAGACAAATTAACAGACAGACAAATTAACAGACAGACAGACCAAAAGGCAAAAAAACAAACAGACAAACAAACATACGGACAAACTGACAGCCAGAAAGAAAAAATATAAACAAACAAACAAACAGATAAACAAAAAAACAGACAGACAGATATATAGAAAAACAGAAAAATAAATGAAAATATATAAATAGATATACAACATTAAAAAAAAAGAAAGAAATAAGGATGATCGTTAGAGGGATAGAGACTGCACTCACTTGTCCTACTTTCGCTGTCTGCAGGCTTCACTTGTATGGGCCGATTCATCTGAATAAGAATAATTATTTTTGTTCAATTTTCCACTCTTTGTTTAAATAAATATAATTTATGAATAAATTAAAAAAAAATTATTTGTGTAAATATAATATTATATTAAAAGTATAAAAAAGTATAGATTGAATTGAATGACGTGTTGTCTGGCTGATTGTTACGATTTGTGGTGAAGTTGATGCAACAAAAGATTGAATTGAATATATATAATGACAGTAAAATACGATGATGAATAATAACGTTGCAGATGAAAGGAAGATGAGATAACGTGATGGTGAGGATAAGAACAGGATGATGATGTTATAACATGATGGTGATATAGATAGCTTGATGATGACATAAATAACATGATGATGATAATAATATATAACGTATATATGGTGTAGTTAACAAAACCTATAATTCTCCACTATACTAATTATCTCTCAGTTCACCATTGCTGATTTTGCTTAGTTAAAAACGCAACAAAATGTCTCAACATGATACCATTATACTGCAACATTATACCCCAACAAAATATCACAACAAAATACCACAACATTAGACCACAGTATAATACTGCAACAAAATACCGCAACAAAAGGCAGACAAGACATCGCTAGAAATACAAGCAAGTGCAGATACTTCTTGACACCTGCAAACTTTTAAATGTGAAACACGTTTTGAGTTCATTCATGTTCACCTACATCTGCTGAGCACTTTCAGTGTAAATTTGCTGTTGTCAATTAAAACGCTCGACTTAAGGACAGATTATTTGAAGAGAAATTAGATTGAATGGAAAAGTTGGTGAAGATAAATATCAGATGTGAATCGTAGAACAGTTAATAATTAGGTTTAGCGAAGTCATTTATTTATATTAATATTTCTGAAAAGTCGTTGGTTTAATTCTTTGATTTGTAAATGGAGATGACATGATTAAAAAATTGTCGGCTTGTAAATATGCAAAAATAATAAAATTCAGGTGATGTGTTTGGAGTTAGGAATTGAAATATAATTAATATTTATGGCTCTATATATTCCGTTGAATAGCAAGTGTAGTGCCAACTTGTGTGTTGTGTAGTGGAGTTAGTTACTGATATATAGCAATGGGATTGTCATCACTTGAAACGCTTAGTGGAATTCCGTTTCAACAGAATAGAAATTGAATTATTCACGCTGATTTTGTCCCAACAGTTGACATTTAATTTGACATAAAATCATTTATTTCATCATGAAACATTTTAAAATTTGTTTAATTCTTATGTAAATGCTATTCAGTGAATAATGATTTGCGTAGAAAATAGTAGAGTTTTCATAAAATTTAAGAAGAAATATGCATATAGCTAATAACAATAAAATATTAGAACGAAAAATAAATGTACCACATAAAGATGCAAACAGCAAGATATCTTTTGTTTACTTGGGTTCATCATGTTCATGAACAATTTTTTCTATTGAAAGTTCAAAAGTATTTTTTATTATTATTTTTGTATAATTTTTTTCATAAAATTTTCCAAAACGTTTTGATGAAATATTTCGTTCTATAGACAGCATTTAGACAGCAACAGCCTATCAGTCAGGCGTATGCTAACATTCACAGAAGTTCATGCGGGTGAGGAAACAACGAAACCTGTTAGCGACTGTTCATCAGAAGATGATGTTTATAATGGGTTATACCAAGTTGAATAACAATTGAATGCCTGTGCATGCTTGTGTCATAATGCACCATGCATTTCGTTGAAGTGTGTTCCTCTGCTGAATTTCACGCACGCAACCTAGCACAATTGACCAGAAACAAAATGACCGAGACAACCTATGACAAAAATGCAGGCAAGCATGTATTTATTAAGTAAAAATAATTTTGATTCTAGAAGCAAACAACAAAATGAACAACTGCTATTAAAAGTAATACAAAATTCCGACAAGTGCCAATATTTGAAAAAGCACAAAAAAAATGTTTGACATACAATTACGTAGAAAAAAATACAGAAAAACACAAAAAACCATTTGAAACACGGAAAGAAACAAAATATTTAGGCAAAGGAATGTACGTAAGTACGTACGTACGTAGAATGCACATTTAAAGTGACCGACATGCAAGCAGACAAATACAGTTACAAAAAACAAACAGACAAACAATCAAATAGACAAACATTCAAACAAACAGACGAACAAATATAAGCAAACAGACAAAAACCCGCAGCAGAGACATTCATAAAACGAAGCCTATCTCGAAGGTTTGCAAGCGCTAACGCATCTGACATTTGCGTGCCACTTGCAAATAAGCTACTACTACTACTACCACCTCCACCATCCCTACTGCTAATACTATTACTACAGCCACCGTTGCTACTATTACTCATACCACAACTACTATTACTACTTTTACTAATCTTTATAACTCTGTCCTTACTACAAGCGCTAATACTGCTGCTCCATTTATTACTATCCATACTGATTCCAATAAGCATTAATTGCATTGCTAGTACTAGAGTTACTTTACTGTTGATACTGTAACTACTACTGCTACCGTTACTACTACTTCGAATGTAACAACCAACAACCACAAGAAACAGCCAACATTTTTGCTGCCTAAACATTCACCACTGAATTATACATGAATATCTACATTAAGTATTTTTACAGCTATTTATACTTTGCTTCATTATGTTCCAGTGTTTATGTTTGAAACTACAAGAAAGCTACGAGCTCGGCGAGGCATCTGAGGCATCAAGAGCAGGATTCTCTACTCTCTATTTTCCGTTTCTGTTATGAATGCACAACAAAAATAACAAAAACAAAATATATTACTTACAATTAAATTTTCAAAAATAAAAAAAATTTACAGTTGCCATTATGATAAACAACACGCTCAACTTGAAATGCAGTAACTACAACAGTCACATTAACATGGAACGCGACAACAACAACCACAACTAACCACAACTAACCACATCCAACCACAATCAGCCACATTTTGAGCAGCAGAGAACCACAGCCACAATATTTTTACTCAATGTACCAGGACACGTACGGCCAAAAATTGCAATTAATGCCTTACAACACCTCGCTCTCGAGTTATTCACTGCGGCTTTTTATACAAAAAGTTGATTTTCCAATAGTGAAAATTGTTGTTGATGATGTTGATGTTAAAAATAATGATGACAACATTACAATGGCAGCAATAACTATGATGGTTCGCTGAGCTGTACACATGAACGTTGTCATGTTGATGATGTTTTTTTTGGTAGTGGGTTAACGTTGGAAGTTTTAACTACAAATTTTTTCCATAAACGTGTATATAAGTTCTAAAGAGATATGCTGATAAATGTCTGGAATTGTAATTTTTGTTCTAAATACATTTTAAAATATTTGAAGTCAGTAGTTTATTTGGTTATTAATAATTTTAATCGTCTTGTCCATTTTTATTGCTGTGTAAGACAGGCCAAACCCAAATTATTATGTTTTCACGTGTTTCGCAAGAAAATAAAATGTGCTTTGAAGGTGTTGTATTGTATTGGCTTTGTCATCATTGCCTCCCTTTTCACATAACACAAAATAAAATTTACTCAAAAAAAATATTTTAAAAGCCAAAAAAAATATTTAAACATTTTTGAATGATGAAGATTTTAAGTGACGTTGAATTAGAACGGTTTTAAGCTCTTCATTGAAGAAATCCAGAAAAGACAATTTGAACAGATTTAAGAGCGTATCGTGAATGATATGGATATTTATTTGTAAAATCTCAAACCAATCCACTTTCAAATAATTTTAAATTAAATCGAATTGAATGAAAGCGCAACTTGAAATCATTTTGACGAACACTTGAAATTTAATGATTGCGATTTAAAATGCTTCTGGTTTCTAAGAGATTTTCAATTTTTTCAAACAACATTTAAAAATTTCTAAAAAAATGATTATTTTAATAATCATTTCAACTCCAGAAAATTTAATTTATCTCAAATTGGAATCAATTACACGAAGTGCGGAATCATGAATGCTGCAATAAACGTCGCAATTGAAGATGTGCGATGAGTCATTTTCCTAATTTTCATGATCACTACGCGCAATTATCTTTGAAACACAAATGCACATTCCAGTTCCTACATGCAATCATATCTGCCAAGTCGTTTTAATAAAATTACTAAAAAAAAACTCAAATTAGAATTCCTATCAATGCCATCACCTTATAATGATCATCACTATTATCACCATCGTCAACATTATCACCACCACCATCATCATCATCATCATCATCACCATCTTCATCACCATCATTACTACCATCACCATCACTCAAATTCTTGTAGTAAAAGTAACAGATCCCTAACTATCCTTTAAAATCCTTCGCAACACCTCCCACCTCCAACTAGAAACTAATTTTCATCTAACAGAATCGATATCTTTGAACTTATTTCGTCATCAATATCCCATCAATATGTTATTATAACATATATATACATATATATGTATATATATTATATAAATGTAAATAAATATATGTATAAATATTTTTTCTATATAAGATAAAATTAATAAAAAGGTAGTTGAAAACTTTGTTTTCTATTAAATAAGTTAAGAAATGATGATGAAAACACGAAAAATTAAAAAATTGAGCCAGAAACGGATCCAGGATGAAAATGAAGTGACATTTCTCAACAATATATATATATATATATATATATATATATATATATATATGATAAATTGTTGATTAATTAAATTTAATAAAGCAATGAATAATATATGACTGAGTATTAGTGGATGAATAAATGAAAAAACCACAACTTTAATGAATGAATGAAAAATGGGAAATTAATGACTAAGTACTTAACGAATGAACGAATGAGTGAGTATTAGAGAATGAATGAGTGACAAAGTGCTAATGAATGAATGAAGACATGATGAATGGACGGCTATGTAGTAATGAATAGATGACAAAAAAAAACGAATGGATTAAGGAAAGAATGAATGAATAAAGATGAAGGAATGAATGCACGAATGAAAAGAAAGTGAAT